CCTGGGGGGTACTCAGGCTGGGACAGGCTGCTCCTGGAGGACTGCACCCCGTGGGAAGGGCCCACATTGCAGCAGCTCATGAAGAAAACTGCAGCCTGTGGGAAGGACGCACACTGGAGAAGTCCATGGAGGACTCTCTCCCGTGGGAGGGACCCCATGCTGGAGTAGGGGCAGAGTGTGAGGATCCCTCCCCCATGAGAAGGGAGCAGCAGCAGCAACGACGTGATGAACTGACCACAACCCACATTGCCATCCCCCTGTGCTGCTTGGGGGGAGGAAGTAAATGGGAGTGAAGTTGAGCCCAGGAAGAAAGGAGAGGTGAGGAGGAAGGTGTTTTAAGATTTGGTTTTATTTCTTTTTACTCTAATTTTGATTGATGATAAACTAATTTTTTTTCCCCAAGCGAAGTCTGTTTTGCCCATGACAATAATTGCTGAATGATCTCTCCCTGTCTTTATCTTTTATCTTATTTTCTCTCCCCTGCCCAGCTGAGCAGGGGAGTGAGAGCAGCTTGGTGGACATATAGCATACAGCCAGGGTCAACCCACCATAGACATGCAACATGGAATAGGATGAATATCCCACTAGGACTATAATCCATCAGGCCAGTAACAAAGATAAGTCAACTTCCAAAAGAAAGGTATAAAAAAGTGAATGTATTAGAAGTTGCACTGTTCAAATAGCTGATTGGACATAGGTACTAAAGAGAAGTGTCAAAAGAGAACAACTAGTCTATAAATGTTTGGGGTTTTTAATGCACTTGCTGGGCACAGACTGGGTCAGCACTGAAAAACACTAAAGTTTACAGCAAAGATACAGCTTATTAAAGGGAGATTGTTCTGACAAAAACAACATCTCACTAGTGCCATTAACAGCAGACATTCTGAACAGCTAACACTCTGAAACAAGAAAGCATACCAATAAACATTACAGTGAAGCTTCAGGAATGGATTTATTTCAGTATTCTTCAGACTAACCAATACAGCTCATGAAGTCTCCTTGGTAGCAAGGACAGTAAAGACATTTATCTCACCCAAAACTCTCTGCAAATCTCATAATTTATTTCAACCTCCTTCTGGAAGATCAGTTTGCCTCGAGAACAGTGCCTAACATTTCAATCTTGCTCACCCTACTGCAGCGTGAAAGTTAAGAAGCCACCGCTGGGGTCTCTGCCCACAGCAGTCACTAAGTCTTAAAGGCATTGAGAAAAACAGTTTTTAGAGTACATATCTATGTTAGGGATAACACTGACCTCCGCTAAATGAGCCAACAGCTTTCCAATTAATAAGGCAAGGAACTAAAGCAATTAAGTGCGGCTAGAAACAGAAGCGAAACAGAGCTAAAGAAAAATATCCACACTTCGCAGTCACATATGTCCATACTCAGGTGTCCCCTTCCTACTTCCTGTTATTCCCTATTCTAATCAATAGCTTTTATTTCCCACTCAACTTCTCATATTCCTCAGTCCCAGTTAGCATCTCATTTTCATTCCGTAAGACAGCATAGCATCTCCATTCTTCCCTTACATAATGGCATCACGGAATAAATTACTTCAGAGGTGTTACTGGGGTCCCTGTATGTCTGCACTGGACATACCAGGTTTCAAAGATTAGAAGGGATTAGCTGACATAACCTGTGTCTGTCCTCAACATCTAACATTATCTACTCCACACCCAGGGATATAATAACAGGATAGTCAATTATGCTTTAAAAGACTACAAAAAAATGAACTTTTCTTCCTTAACTCTTGGCATGTGCAACAAGGTTTGTTACTTATTCAAACATGGTACATACTTGGGAACTGTATCTGAGCATCAGAAGACTCTGCACTAATTTGTTTAAAACCTTCCCACTTGCTTCAAAACTGGGCAGCCATACTGCCATAAAGAAATAAATTATTTCATTTCAGCCTTTAATTGCAAATTGTGCAAGCTCTATAGCAATCTAAATATCTCAGAGTACGTTAGATACTTAGTCTGTTGTTAGGCCACAGGAGTGTTGCCTGTCAGCTGATATAACTGAACTTTTACAGAATTAATTAATGGAGAAAGATCAGTCATTGCTTCACGTAGTTTGACTAAAAGCCACGCTCCTCAAGTGGTGACCCAAAGACACAAAGGAAGACAGTGCAGGTCAGAAGACAGACAGAAACATTATTTATATCTTCTCATAGATGTCAATAGGAAGATCTTTCTAGGACAACCCATTTGTTTCTTTTAAGGTACTCATATATACTCACTTCTTACAAACTCCTCTCAGAGGAAAGGAATGGACCCTTCCAAAAGAACACAGAAATACAGATAGATAACTGGTTTTACTTACATAACTGGATCAAACATATTGCGAATCTTTAGACATGGTGTCAAGCTGTTTGGTGGTGAATTTCTTCTATCTAGATGAAAAGCTACAAAGAAAAATAAATTTAATAGTATTTATTGACAGGCATAATACCATTTAGTTAAGTGTCAACTTTATACATTGATACTTTTCTGGGTTTACTCAAAAGACTACTTTCCTCCAAACATGAAAAAGCTTCAAGCAAATTAAAGTTCCCTACAGTCTTCTACTGCACTGAAGAAAATGTACCATATTTAACTGATTTTTTTAGATTTACAACATCTACATTTTAAAAGATAATGCACTCTCTTACATCCAGGCCACAGTACACAGAAAGAATTCCAGATATTTAAAACTAATACCATATAGTTGAAGAGAAAGTATGTAATATGCATTACATCTCCCTGAAAAGAAGGATATTGTTAACATCTGAGGGGAATTTCCGGAGCTGTAGGTTAACTGGGCAGTTTTAACTGCCTGATGAATTTTCATTTCTTTCACTTTTGGGGCAATTTACTACCCATGTGACTAAGAAATAGAGGCACACCTAGATAGAGGTTGTATTGCATCCATATTGCAGCAACAACTGTCAAGGAACACTCTACAAGGACAGAGCTTTTACGACCCTAGGCACTCTACACACATGATCAGAAGCTTGCAAAAATTTGAAGTGAAACACCCCAGAGGATAAAACATATGTTAAGAAGAAAAATGGAAGTTAACAATAACAGAGTAACGCTTCCCAAGCTGAACAATCCCAAGAAATACATTATGAAGTTAAAAAATAAATATTAACTTCTCTAAAGATCACAAGTTCTACTTGTGGGAGTCTCAACAGAAGGCTGCACCATGAGAAAAGGAATAAAGGAGCCCTTCAGATTCAGGTGAAGTAGTTCCATGACTTCAGAAGGGCCAACAAAGCAGCAACAGAAATGGAAAGGGATAACCTGGTAAAATAAATTCCCAAGGCTTGAAGGAAGTTTTACTTTGTAGACTCTAGATGAGCAGATTCAAGAGTTTAAACATAAGAATAAAAATCTCAAGAAGACAAAATGACACTCCAAACTGATGTTAACGCTTCCTCTTTGCAATCCTTGCTTTGGAAAAGCATGACAGATTCAAGAGGTTATGTTCCAAATGTTAGAAGTCTCAGTTTTGGGCAGATGACACTACAGGTCTGTGCTTCTTACTGCTGACCTTTAACAATAAAGTACTGGAAGTATAGGCAAAAGACATGAACACTGCTGCTCTTCTGTATGCCACCAAAATAAAAACCCCATCACAGAAGAAATTCAGTCTTGTGAAAGACACTCACGTGAAAGACAAGCACTGCCCAAGAGAAAACACACTGCCTGCAGATATGGCACAAACTCACACCTTACATAAATTTGAGGCAACATCACCCCATAGTTGGCAACTAGAAATTAGAAAAGGTCAACTCCAAATCGCATATGGAACCTAACACACAAAGTCCAAGTCACCAACACCTGTAACAATTGTCTGGGTTTGTGTGTTTGTTGTTTTATGGGTTTTTTTTCCCTTGGGAATAGATTTCTAAATATGCTGGTGACACTGCATCTATCTCTGAGCTGCCCATCGTTTAAGGACAAGTCCTTTTTCAATAGCACATGGTTTTGTAAAGTTTTTTGCCCTTGATTAAAAGTTATACATAGGGTACACAATAAAAACTTTACAGAACTAAGCAACATTGAAAAGTAAGTGGACTTACCTTATGCATGTAGGTTGGCTCCAGCAGATCAAGGGGCGTGAAATGTCACCAGCATATTGTACGCTGGGGCACCACACCATACTGGAGAAGGTGATCGGGGGTGGCCCAGTCATGGACCTGGACCTGAAAAGGCGTGGGGTTGAGGAAATTATGTGCCGATTGTTAATAGCTAGGTTTATTCAGCACATAGTTTTAATCCAAGGCTAAAGAATGGGGAGGTTATTTGCAGAGACCCTAGGCCCAGAGGATCAACATTTCTGCAAGCTGTTTATGAACTCCAAAAACCCCCATACTGTTGTTCAAGGCAGCAGCTACACGACTGAGTGATGTGTAAGTAACGAATGGAGAATTTAGGCTTTAGCATGGATGCCTACAAAAACTCAGCTTTGCCTGCTCCAATTCCTAATATTGATGTCCTCTTGATTGGAAGATCTCAGGTGCTTCAGAGGTTCCTTCACCATCACTACAAAACTGATCTGCTACCAACTTAATCTAACATCATGTCAGTAGAGCAAGTGTGCCCAAAGCAGCATAGCATATGAAAATAAAAGATGAATTCTGCCTTTTCTCAAAAATATTTCAAAGTCATCATAAATTTAAGTTTTGCAACTTAAATGGAGTTTTTTTTTTAATGTATAAGGAAAAGAATGGCCACAGAAATCAGAGAGCTACAAAATTAATGCTTACTACTGTGCTAGCATTAAAATGTATACCAGAAGCTGGACCAAAAGGGGAGGCGAGGAAAGACCACAGGGAAGTTAAAAATTAATGCTCTACCTACACAGTAAAATTCTAAATGATGTAGTTAACAGATGTCTCAAACGTCATTACATACCTATAAATTAATCATCATCTTCCTCACCCCAGAAGATGAAGTTTAACAACAAACCTATTCAGATTACAGTACTGATTGAGTATTTACACTGGTGTGAAGCATACAAAATATTCTCCTCACAATAAGGGCATATGCAGACATTCTGGCAGGACACCTAAGCTACACCGTAATTAACCAAGCACCTCACCTGCCATTTCTTTCCTAAACAGGTCTCAACAGTAAAACTTAGAAGATGGAGGGTAGAAAGGCAGAGATTAAATACAAAAGCAATTGCACAAAGTTGTGCTTCAAGTCACTGACAAGAGAACTTAGGACCTTCATAAATATCCCTTGGGGACTAGTGAGCACCTTCAAGAAAAGGAAGCCACTTTGTATTTCAGTCATAACGTACTTTGTTTTATTACCTTAAACTGAATATGACTATCATTCTAGATCCAAAGAACAGTAGCCTGAGTTTTCAATCACCTCTTTGTCACTGTGACTGGAATATGTCTATGATAGAAGAAGTGGCTCTTGCACAGACTTCCAAATGAACATCTGAGAAATCGTAGTACATCTTTCTATGCCTCTTGAATTACTACAGTATTAGTGATAAAGGGATTCCCCAGTATCACCACCGCAGGTTAGAAGACAGCCCAACAAATGTTTAGATGTGGATTTGATACATGTGATAAGTTTGAAGATTTGCATCAAATATAGGTAACCAAGTTTGAGGAACAGATTTATTCATGTTAAGCCACAGATCACTAATTTATTAAGTACTAACTTCTTATCAAAGGAAAGAAAACACTTAGTTGAAAATGTTGAAGTTATGCACTTTCACAAAACATGAGGTTCTTCAGTAAACAGGAAAGATACTGAAATCAAAATAGTACTAAATGTTAAGACTACTGCTACTATTTTGAAATCAAAATACTGCTGTGTTATTGAGAGGAGAATGTGGTTGACTTAGCATTTAATACAGTTAATTTCAGCTATAAACGACCAGCCTGGGATGGATACAGTATTTTACGACAAGCAAAAATCCAGAGTTTTCTTGCAACAGTTAAGAATAGTGTCTTAAAAAAAAAAGCCACCAAACACACACCACACATGTAGATAGGATTCTGTTCTCACAGGCTGGGGAGGAGGGGTATCATTCACACAAGGTAACAAGTTACCTTCCATGCTGCAGGATGAAATATCACCCCAGATGTGGTACTTCAGAGAACCTCTTTATCTCATCTCCAGAGCTGTCAAGGAGCTTCAGCTATTGCTGCTGGCTTAGCTCCACTGGAGCTCTGCCTACCTATTTTTCTTTGGAGCTCCAGTTATCAAAGTTATGATGCGGCAACAGTGTTTGCTCCTTCAAATCCAAACTGAACACACTAGAAATATTTTTTCTTTCATTTTCATTGATTTAGTTAGATTATTGTCTATTGAAAAAGAACTCTCTTGTCAACTGTTTTCAAAACATCGCTCATTTGTCCATGATCCTTCAGTGAGCTTACCTACTCCCCCTTCCTTTTTTTTTTTGACAGATACCTACCAGATCCAGTAGGTAAAATTTCAAAGGGAGTACAGCAGACTTTATTCTGACCCAGTTAAAAAAAAAACCCTCCCAAACTGCCTGTCAAAACACAGGCTGCATCCTGAGGGACTGGAGAAGATGCCATTGCAATGCTTGAACTCTGGACGCTAACAGGCAGTAGAGCCTGTATCTTCTTGCATGCTACAGCTCCCACATTTAAAGTGCGTGCTATCACCTACCAATAAGCTAGTGTACACTGACAGGTCAATAGGCTTTCTTCTTCAATTGCACATACTCTAGGTATTGTGCTCTGCTACAGAACTCTACCAGATTTCGTAAGGTTAAAAAATTGTGACTTTGAAAGTTATTCACAAGATTTAAAACCAAGGATTCATTCTGATTTTATACATACTGAGTATTTTCATGACCCAGTAGTCTTGTAGTGTGTACTGAGATTTATAAACTTCTAGATTCAAACGTCAAAACTGTCGGATGAACTTAATTCCAGTTGATTTATACTCCCAAAAATGAAGAAAGCAGCCCACACATATAGAATTCCTAATATCAGGAAAGCAACAGCTGTGTAAGAAGTATGAAATTTATGTAATGGAACTATTTCCAACAGTCATATGACAACAAGGTACACAAAACACAAAGAGCCTTTGCATGTGAAAGTTGTCTTTGCCTGGTGACTACCAAAGATATCAGAGTGCAAATGACCTGTGTCATTTCAGCCACTTCTATTTCCATGCCCTTCTATTAGAGCCAACGTATGCAATTTCAATTCTTCAAAGACCTTTGCTGAACTACAAACGTAACAAGAAAACCAGGAAAACTGCTATTAAAAGAATTGAAACACGATAGACCTTAATATATCCTAGTCAATAGAAAATATGGTCTTAAGTACATACTCTAGGCAACATACAGCTAAAAGCCACAGCTGAGGAAGTTATTCTGTAGCTCACAGTACCACTACACAGTATACCTCACAGTAGCTACTACATTAGCTGTCTTTCTAAGAAGTTTTGGAAACTACTATTCTGTTGAGAGTTTAGAATGTATATTCCATGTAGCAAAGCTGCACCTGAGCTATCACACACTGACAAGTCTTCCAGGTGAAAGGAAAGTCCAGTCCGATTTCTAGTACAGGACAGAATGTTATAAAGTGATTTATACTGCAATCCAACAGGACAAGAAAATAGAGCAAATAAGCAGTAAATGAGAAATTCTAGAACTGCAGTGCCATGCCTGTATTGAACAATAAGCTACAAAGAAGATTCAGCTTTATAATATACATAGCTTGCAGAAGCTATTCTTAAGTGTCTGAAAAACAATCATAGAATCTAGAATTCTATAATCACAGAATGGTTTGGGTGGGAAGGGACCATAAAGACCATCTAGTTCCAACCCCCCTGCCACGGGCAGGGACACCTTCCACTAGACCAGGTTGCTCAAAGCCTCATCCAGCCTGGCCTTGAACACATCCAGGGATGGGGCATCCACAACATCTCTGGGCAACCTGTTCCAGTGAAATCATGACACTATGACAGAGATGGAACAGAGACAGCTGCTGACAAAACCCACCATTTCTGCACTGCACCTAAAGCACTTGCACATCTCAAACGGACAATGTCCTAGAAGGAAAGAGCTCTGCAAGTCTCGTAATGAAATTACTATTCACATCTTACATGATTTCAATTTCTCAAAATTTTAGTCATACAGTTGTCACAACAGAATGCCACGTTAAAACTACTGCAAGGCAATAACTGCAGAACCTCAGGCCCGCAGTGGTATTTACAAGGCATTTAGAAAAAAGCAGCCCTTGTTTCCAGCGAATGATTGAAAATGAGAAATGTAATGCTAAAACCAGTAGCATGACTTTGAGAAGTACATAATGATCTCCCAACATACCATTTAGCATAGACAAACAAGAAATGAGTCCCAAGACTACCAAGGTCCTCATCAGATAACATGCCAAGTATCTGCAAAGGTCTCAAAATATTTGGCTTTTCAAGTTGACAGAGAGAATTGCTCATTTTTGCTTTGAACTTAGAGAAAAGCAAAATTTAAGACCCAAGGGCTGAAAGCATACATAGAATTTATGAGTAAATGCAAGTGGCCTGGGACAAAATCCAAATGTCAGCAGTACTTCTATTCGGGCAAGCAAGCCTGCTACAGTATAAATGTTCCAGGCCACAAAGAAGCTCTTTCTGCCTGTCTTTGGAAAGGAAATAATCACATTGGAAGGAGCTACTTTAGACCGTACCTTCTTTTACAGAAAACAATAAAAACATTGTTTCTTACATTTTTATTTGTATAGGAAGAAGCCTATTACTACTTGGATAAGCCTGTAGAAGGAAGCCTATTACTACTTGGATTAGTTAAACTAAGACCCAAATTAGTATACTCCAGAAGAACACAGATGAGAGTGCAGTTGCTTGCCAGTGGGAATTTTTGTTTTGTTTAAAGTGGGAGTAGGATGGGCAGAAAGTCTGTTTTTTAACTAGGCTTTTTTCAGCATCTAGTCATTGCCATAGAAGTAAAGTACAACCTTAATAACATTAGATTTTAAAACCTGAACTAAAAACTGGAGAAGCAACCACTCCCTCCTCTCTCACCATCAAAATTAGCTAAGTTTATAAACTTGGATACTGCACAGCACTAATTTCAGTCCCACTGGAGAGATAGCAGAGCATTACAGAAGAACGTAAGGCAAGACAGGCTCTTTTAAAGGGACACAACATTTTAACAATTGGCGATTAAGATTTCAGTTTAAACATTTACCACACTCAGACATTGATAGAAATGACCATTCTTTTTCATTGCAACCCAGAATTTAAGTCGTATAGCTTTAATTTTTCACCGAAGAAAAACCCAACCCCAAAACCTGAAGCTTAACATGAAGACAGACAAAGATGAGGAACTAGGAAAAAATGACCACTGCAAATTCACTGGATTCTTGGCACATGGCACCACGATCAGATTGAAAAGTGACAGACCACTGCAAAACCCATGTGTGACAACCATCTCCTCTATTAAAGCAAATGCTTTGCTGTACCACAGAGCTTGAAATACAAATGCAGAGTATAGAAAAATAAAATTTGACAGAAAGGAAGCACTACTGAGAGATGCTCAAAATCCATGTTCTGCTGACTGAGGAGTCTTTTGTTCCATCAGTTTCCCTTTCAAAACAGACAAGCAGCTTTTCCCCCGAACTCTGTCTTTACGTACCAACTGATAACAGTAGGAAACTCAAGTCTACAAGCTCTGATTTACCCTCTGTCAGATACAACCAACTGCATTATTTCCAATAAGTATTAGGCATGTCAGAATTTGACCAACTGAACAGTATTTTTTTTTCAGTTCAAGAAAAGGAAGATGTATCTCATTTTGGCTACATGCCCTCTGCTATATTTCTCCAGTAGCTCTAACAGAAAAGTTCATTTTGCTTGAAAACAAGCAGACACTGAATGCACAGAAAAAGGAAGTCTACTGAACAAGATAATAGAGAAACAGCCCTGACAGTTGCTAACAATACTTAAAGGTGTGAGACAAAACAAGTCTTTGTGTTCAAGCACCAAATTACAATCCTGAAGTTAGATGCAGAAACGAATTATCTTTGCAAAATTAAACAAACTTCAATACCTTGGCCTTGCCACACTTTCGATGGTATTACTAAAATTTTGTCACATGCTGCAGAAGGTTGCATCCATTTCCAAACCAAGAACTCGGCACCACCTATTCTTCGCGTCTCTGTGCGAACTCTAGATTCGTTTGCTGCAAGAAAGTCAACTGCTCTATTCCAAACTTTCCTCATTTTCCTCCTTAAAAATTAAAAAGAGAATTACAGAGTTAGTATTATAACCTGCAAAGCTGACATCCAGCATGCAGGAGAAATCCAGTGTTTCCCCCCCACCCACCTGTGTCAATAGGAATCTCCAATATATTACTCTATGCAACCTACTGAAATGAACTTAGTTAATTGGCTAATTTAGTTTTATCCTTTTTCCTTACTTACACAAAGAAATTCAGTACTTCCATGAGAACATACCTGTCGTGAGGTGGTATTAGCGAATCACGCACGTGTAAAATAGGCATGTAAGGCTGCAAGTCTTTATTTTCAGAACATGCTTCACTGTGACTTCTTAGAACATCTGAGGACACCGTAAGAAAAAACTGGTAACTATGTAGTTCATGCAAACATTAAGGACAACAACAATTCTGGCAATGCAAAGCTCCTGAAGACCCTTCCTGATTTCAGTAGGTAAGGTGGTTTTGACATTTTTTAAGCATTTTTCCCCCTAATCGTGCAAATCAAGAAAACTAGCCACAGTGCCTCCAAATACCCCAAATAACTAAAGGACAAGAGTTACTGCACTTACCCTTGATTGGTACTTTTAACTGTCAGCAAAGACAGCCACCTTTGAAAATAAAATGCTTTCCCCCCACATAACACAACTTAGCAAGAAAAAAGGTAGGAAATTGTAAAAACAGGAAAACAGCACCCATTTGCCTACCATCTCTGTATTTATGACTGCCATAGGTGAAAGTAATATGGCAATTTAAGTAAAAATGCAGCCCAAAACAGAGCTTAAAAACTACAAACACAAACTACTAAAACCACCGCGGCTTCAAGCAGAAAGGCAGCATTTCAGAACTCAATTATGCATTCTGTTTTAGTAACAATTTCTGCTCAAAGTGACTAATATAGAAAAAGCAGCTTTTTCTATGAAAAGACATTAAGGATAGAATTGAGAGCTCACACATTTTAGAAGTAGATATTTTAGCTAAAAATAACTGAAAAAACCAGGTAAGAGAAAGCAACATGTCACCATACTTCCAGTCAACAAGCACTGCATTTGTGTTTGTTTTCAGAAGATAAAATACCACCAAGTCAATGGGAATTTATTATAGCTATGTTGGTGTAATTCACATATTACAACCTTTCTACCAAAAGCTCTGATTACTTTTAAAGTATTATGGGGTTGTTTGGTTTGGGTTTGTTTTTTTTTAAAAAAAAAAAAAGAAGTAACACACATGAATCATACATTTGACCAAGAACTAACAGTACGATGACTGATAACTGAACCGGCAGAAAACACAACTGAGTTAATGCCATTACTTTGAAAGCTTATGCAGAGCTGATACAGGTACATCAGATGTGACTCAAGAAGCCATACCTATGATTTTTACCACCATATCATACATCTGCCTTGTTTCTTCTTCCTCCTTTGCCCAACGGTATTTCATGTAGTGTAAGACTCCCCAAACCATTGCTATACCTGCATTAAGATGCATAACACTCTTTAAACAGTATTACAGCATTGGTTATTTAACAAAGCTTACAGCACATACACTTCAGAAGTTTGCTGAACTTGCTAACATTTTGAAGTACTTTAAATCTTAAAGCTAGGGAAAAATACACCGTACTCTCTCTCAATATTTTATTTTACTAACACAGCAACACGAACTCAAACTTTGAGGGGCAGTTACCTTTAGAAAAAAAGTTTAATTGTTTTAACAACAGCCTGGTATCCTGTGACTGTGGTTTGAAGTTTTACCCATTTGTGAAGAAAAATAGCAAAACTATTTTATTGGGAAAAATTCAAATTCATATCAAAAGTCACATAAATTGGCAATTCTAAACAGGTTAAGATTTGCACAATATTCACTAATTCATGGACAAGTCACATGCTTTAGATATACTGGTCAAAACTAATTAACTTGAACTGCTTCAGTTCAGCTACTGATTTGTACTGCTTGCAACAAAGTACTGCATGCTCTTTTTCTGTTACTTTAGAGACTGTTCCCAAAAAAGACAAACTAGTTATGAAGGCCAGCAGCATAAAGTAAAAACAAAAATCTTATTCCTTCTACTGCCTCAGGCTTACAGCACCACTGCACCCATGATAGCTTAACAATAAAAAAACCCCACAACACCACACAAGAAGTACAATTACACAAATTAAAGTTATATAGTTAGTTTCGTATTCCATTGTTGGCAAGGCAACGTTAACTGATACTTCAAAGAGACTGAGGATGTTAACAATACATCTAACATTAATAGTATGCTTTATTTTTGAAAGAAGTGCTTCATATATTAGCCTTAATTGCAGATGAGAAAGTTGAGACATGGAGCAATTTGCTCAGTGGGACTAATGAGACCAGTGGTTAACCTGGGATCCAGAGATGAAACTCCGTATCCAATTTAACCCTCATATCCACTACTATCAGAAAGACAAACCTGGGACAGTTTGCCTTTGATTATTTGGTTTATCAAAAGGCTAGAGAAGGAGGTCTCAAGACTGCTGTTCATAGGCATGAGCTTGTTAATAAATTGTTTATCCCAATGACTTAAATATTCAATAGGTGTATGAGATGAACTCTGCACCTTCAGTATTTCTAACCAGCCACATGGAAAGGAGTGAAGTGTCTTCACTCAACTACACCAAATTTTTATGCTGTACAGTTTTCAGTATGGTTAAGAATTAAATAAAATTGAAATTATTTGAAACCTAAAGAACTACAGAAGACTAAATGAGTACGTCTTACTGAAGGATTAGATACATATTCACAACATAATCTTAGAAGTAAGAATTTCTGGTGACAACCATGTTGGGTATCCAACTTTACTTAAAACCAGGAAAACCATCTTTTCTGTAGTTATGTTTCCAAAAGTCCTGGAACAACAACAAAATATCCTCAAAGTTAAGGCTATCATGTCTTTTTACTGAGTGTTTCACTTTATCAGATCAGTTGAGCCTGGAATTTTTGAAAGCCACAAGGTATTCCTTTAGCAGGAAAAAAGACAGAATTTCCTAAGAAGGAATATGTTCAGCTGACTTCAGCAGCAGATGATAGCAACCAATGTGAAAATACAGTGGTGCAACAGAAGTGGAAGGCAAACTGTGCCAAGATACTGACAGGAACAAAAACTGTAGATAAACATGCTGTTTACTTTTCCCCATGCACTTACAGAAACACAAGTTATAACAGAAAAAGTTTAGATTTTTTTATAATTAAAAACTTACCCAAAAGCAATACTGATAATCTGTGAGTTACATTAACAAACGCACGCCGAAAACGACACCTGAAAGACATCTTTGGACTAGTGGATTCCAGATACTTCACATCTGTCACATTAGTGACATCAATCTCATTAGGGTCACTGCTGAGACACCTATTAAAAAATATACGGCATTTATGAAAAAGGATACATTCTGCTAAAAGTAGTTAAGAAATAAAGACCACTTACTTTATGCCAACATCTTCCCCACTATTCAAGATCCATTGTAATGCTTGGTTAAGTACACTTTCATATTCTGGACCTAAATTCTGTCAAAATACAAATATCGATGAATAATGTCATAAATAACCAGAAAGTTATGCCACAATAAAATTCAGACACTGCACAGATCAGTAGCCAAAACTACATGGTTTTGTTCTTGATTTTTCAGATTTTGCGTAAGTGTTCACTATACAAAGCTGTTCATAGCATGTATAGATGCACTATCAGACTTACTAGCATTCCTCAAATTAAGGGCCGCTTGGCAAGTCAAGCCACGTTCACAGTTTTATTAACAATTCCAACCTACAGCAAGGAAAAAACTATTCCGCCACTAGGCGGTGCTCACTGGAAGTTTACCTGAGGAACAGAACTCAAAATAGATATAAACCCAGCTGAAAATGGGTCCTACAAAAGCAGTTCAGGTCTTTTTATTTAAAAACAAAACAAAACAACAAACAAACAAAAAAACCAACACTTGAGAAAAATCAATTTTAACTTCTATTTTGCAAACAGTCCAGTGTCTGTAGTTTAAGAACTGATACCACTATATAGAGATTGACCATTTAAAATTTAAATTAGTTGGTATCAACTATCATAGGAGAACATTCACTGCTGTCTGAGCTAAGGCTGCCTTCATAGTTCACCTTGTCTGTTCTTTTGCTGAAAAACCAAAAATGGAAGTTACTACTGTATTTTAAATTATGTGCTCCAAAAAGATTAATCTCCATCCTTCCTTTGAAACTCACATAATGTAACTAGCCTAGAATTAAAGGATAAGCACTTAAGAAAAACAGTAACTGTTTTATTTTCACTCTGAGAGTAAAATATTAAAGTTTTATCACTGAACACTGAAATTCTGCAAAGGAGTTATAGTCCCAAAATGAGGAACTGCAGGCTTAAATGAGACTTTGTTCAAAGTGACAAATTTTCATATCAGATTTTAGCTCCTTATCAGAGCTAAAAGAGTTTTGGTAACTGTCATTCTTGCAGCATAACTGATAAGTAAGACCATCAGTTATCTGGCACCAACTTAATTTTGTCTGCAACAAATATTTGCCAAAATGTACAATTTCTGTATGTCTATATATTAAAAGTCACATCATCTTAACTCTTCCACATCCAGTCAAAGAAATCTTATACTCTCAGCCTTTTAAAAGCTTCAAGTAGTTTTCCACTGAAGGGTACACCAACATGGGCTAAAATAAACCCTACAGCTGTCAAGACAAAGCAAGAGTCATCTTTTATTTGGGGAGTGAGGCAGAGGAATGACAGCAGAGTGGGATTTCATAATACCTCACACCTATCAAATTAACAAAAAGGCCTTTTTTGACCATTTCTATTTAAATAGTGTCTCCATACAGCTGCTGCCTGTCAGGCCTGCTGCACAGATCCACCTCTCCTCCCAAAGAAAGCAAGACAGTATCCTTTCCTACTAATTCTCAAAAGATAGCATACTGATTTCTGAAGAAGCTTCCAGTGATTTAAATTTCATAAATTTATGATTTAGTGTTGGTCAGCTATCTCCCTCAATTCAAATTATACCCTGGTGTTTCAACTAAAGGGAAGAAAACTGCATGCCATTGAAACACTACTGTCTACACTTTCATTGCAATTCAGACAGTTTCTTTCACCTTCCCTGTCCCCCAAAACCTCACGACATCCCCAAATAAAAATCGTAAGTAGCATGTGTTAAAGACATCAAATGCAAACATTTCCATATAACATTAATACTAAGTAAAATTTTAGTCAACACACTGAATGTGAAACCAGGCCTTACAAACTGTAACTTATGCTGATATACAATCAATGAAAAATACCTCATTTGCTTACTTTTAAATATGCAGCTGCCTCCTGGACGGTAAGATTTCTTTGAACAGAGCTGCCACATTCATGTTCCCCTGGTAAAATTAAACTTTTGTTTATTTTTATCTACTTATTACTGCATTATATAAAATAAAATCACCTAAAGACAAGCTTACAGTGAACACAACCTACTCAAGCAGCACTAGCTCAATAATTCTCACAAGTTCCACTAAAACAGGGAAAAATCTCTAGAAAATTTTCTCCTTCAAAAAAGTGTTAAAAAAACCTTGTGAAGATTGTCACAAACATGTACAAATCACATCAATACAAATTCATGTACTGCTCAAAGTAAGTATTTACACTGAAAGTAGAACAAAATGTAGTATGGAGAGCTATCAGAAGAGTATTATCATAAAACAAAGGTTGCTGTAGTAGTTTTAAATTCTAATCTTATTTGCCTTCTCCCAGGAATTACGTTTATGCAGTATGCAGCCAACACACTGACTTCACAGCTTCTGGTCTCATCTTCAAAAACCAGCAGACAGCTTCCATGCAAGTCCTTATTCTAAATTTTTTTTCAGACTACATTCCCTCTGAATAAGTTTAACAGTTAAAAATGCCTTTGCTGCCTGGCTCTGACAATGTCTAAGACCCATCAGTTCAAATTACCCTCATGCAACGCTGTGGGGGAAAAAAAGTAAAATTACTTTCATCTTGCCTCCCACTCTTGAAAGGAGTAAGCTAATCAGAGTTGGGGAGTTTCAGACCTGTGCAAAAAGCTGTCGGAGATGCAGTTTCTCATTCCAATCTACTGCTGAGAACCATTTAACAGCTTTCTTCTGAGAAACTCATGAATTTGAAAGACGGCAGAAAGTTAGGCAATTCACAAGTCAGACAACCTTCTGTTTTACTGCAAACAGCAGGATATTCCTATATGCCATTTCAGTCACCGCTTTAGCTAATAGTTCTGCAAATGAAGGCTTACTGTGAATAAGTTTGGTGCAATCATTAACCACTTGGCTTGGAAACCCACTTTCCATAGTCTGAGCCAAAAATGTTTCCCAACTGTTCCATTTGAGGCCCTATATCCAGGAATAAAACTGAAGCAGAGGCATGAAAAACACTTTACACAGGTCTGCTACAAGATATGTCTGAGGTCTTTGTAAAAACTGCCCTCCTTCCCACTCTGTTAAAATCTCTATTGCAAGCTTAGAGAAAGCATGCATCTTTGTGCTCAGATCTTCTTTTGGCACAGATCAACGTCAAGTGCAATCAGAGAACCATTCTATTTGCCTTTGCAGGGAGGTGCGAAGCAACACATCCCAGAAAGGATCACAAAGTTACCTTTTAGCTCAAGTTAGCCTACTTGGGCAAGCTATGCAAGTTGAGCTCTTCTCCTAGAAATACTAACAAAAAGCCACTAAAGCCTCAAGATCTAAAAAAATTATTTAAGTCTATTCTCACAATTGCTTTCAATACAGAAAATAAGTCAGCTCTGCTTTTTCCTGCAGGCCGGAATATTTGAAAATTACTTTCATTTGGGCATTTAGGTTAATTTATGAGCTGCAGCATATACAGTTAACACAAATATCCAGAATTTTAAAATATTTGATTTACAAGGTAAATAATTCTCTTAAAGTACCAGAACCAAAACCCAGCAGAAACCTAATACTTTAAGGAACACATAGATTTAGCATAGAACTCTAGCTTATAGCTTGATGTGATACAGTCGATCAATTAAAAAAAATTGAATTGTGTATAAAACGTTCAGCAGAATTTGCTGCAGGACAAAAGTATGGGTAACCGAAAGAAAAGCAGGAGCAGAACAAGTGTTGTGAGAGCAAGTAACAATGCCTGATGTCCCAAAGGCAAATACAACAGTTTAGTAACCCTGCTGAAAAACGGAACTTGCTAAATAGTCTTTAAATCACTGGCTAGAAACAGCACAATATCAATTACCTAAAGAACTAAAGATTAAGGACAGTGACAGAACAGAGAGCCTGTGACAGCCATCAGATACAGTAGCTGACACGTGAAATTAATTATCTAGCGTTTTGCCAGGATTTTCTTCCAGCCATGGATTTATCAGTAAGCCTTATTACATACAGAAGTCTAATTCACCCCTACATGTCAAGGACCTGCCTTTCCATTAGTTCAGAAGGAGCCCCTCTAAACCTGATAGACCATCACCCTGTGGAGAATGCCAAGCCAAAGAAATGTCTGACTAAATAAAAATTCTTATGTACAACAAAGTAGAGTCATACTGGGACATAGCTGGCTGCTCCTTGTGGTTAGGTTTATTCATTCTGCAAGCCTGACTGAAAATGGATGTGACCTATTGATGTCTCTCTATGAAAGACCAAGACATCCAGTAATTAACATATGCCTGAAGGAAGCCTAATTTAAATAAAGCACATATTTTGGTTTCGGAGAAAGTGTCAGGCACTGTCAATAAAAAGCTGCTTTGAAGAAAGCTGAGCCATTAGACAAGAACACAGGAACACAAACTTCAGCTCATAACCAGACAAGTAGATACTGCTTCTCCCTCTAGTTTCTTCTGAGGTAGACATTACTCACCATACACTGGGCAGACAAGTAATTCTGAGAACAGTGATGCATTAAAGGCAATCTACTTTTATATAGGGTAATGAAATTATTTTACATCATATCACAGCACCACAGTACAGAATAGTATATTACGATCCAACTGTAGATGCCTGTCAAATAACTGTTACCCTGACTTTTTCTTCCTGCCAAATAACCTTCAGTGTTTTACCTTCTAAAATAAAAGCCCCATCACTTGCTCTCCGATTGGAGTTGACAAGGCAAGAAACTAGACTACTGCAAGTTTCCAGCCTGCCTTTTTAATATTAATAGTTATAACATGAACAAATGATTCATAGCCAAGTATGAAATGAGAGAAACTTTTCCAAGTATGTGACAGAGAGACCTGAAAAGCACCACTTTCAGTAGAACTGTATTCCTTCACTTTTCTCTCTTTTGAAGTGGTGCACTGTGTAAAAGATCAACACTTTTAAACCCTGAATCTCTCCAGCAGCTTCCTCTGTTCTAGGATTTTTAAGCAGCTTCCAGATATTGTGCCAGGTCTATGTCAATATAGTATTAAAAAATGGACAGCAGGCTTCTTCCTCTCATACCTTAAGAAACCTCGTGTTGAGGATAACTTCTGTCTATGCACAGATGAATTAGGTCATTAGTCAGACTGCATGAAAGCCAACCTACTGAGCAATCAGATAATCTCACAATACAGCTTCAGTTTAGGGGAATCATCTAACTGGAAGTACAGCTATATTTTTTGAAAGTACTTAAGATTCTCCTAACCAGGAATGGACTAGAGATTAATGCACCTTTGAGACCTTGGGAAGCCAGCAGCCATCTTAGAGCATACAAATTCCTTTCATAAGGCAGACAGGTAAACATTTTTATAGGTGTACATGCATGTAAGAAAGCCCCACCTAATGAAGAAAACTCCGTTTCTTCCACAGATTTAGAAATGAGGTGCCAAACCTTTTTATCCAGGCAAGTACAATGTTTACTGGATGGCCACCTCACACACTGTGGGAACAGCAAGCAGTGGTATTTTCTTTTCAAGAGAGGGAGAGAAGTAGCATAACCCATTACTTCCACTTCACACAAGCCAGTGCTCTATTGAACACAGCTGTGGGTCTTGTAAGATATTCCTACACACCACAGCTTGGCTACCCCGTATGGAAAAGAAAAAAAAATCTTTTGGCTCCAATGATTTATAGTACAGATTATCTACTACCATCTTTTAAAGTACAACACAGTTTGAAACAGGTAAGAACATGTCAAGATGTAATTGACCTGTGAAAGATCAACCCTGCAAGGCATTCACAGTCAGAAAGCAACAAAATTAAGACTAAAGCAAATATTACTTTGCATGCACTCAGGTTTAACCCCCAAAAATAGTGAAGGAGTGATGTTTAAGAATAATATAAACACTAAGTTTGTTGGGTTTGTCCAAACATCTCTTTTATTCACTACAGATACTGTACATGCTCTGGAAACAGAAAACTTGTGCAGGAAAGATTACTCGTGCAATTTAAAGGTATCACAGAGGTGCTCAAATTTCTCAGATTTCCTATGCAGCCCTGACACATTAAACTGTCAGCCTCGTATCTGACAGAGCTGCTTCCACATTTTTCTAATGTTTGAGAGATGTCTGTAGCATCTAGTAATAGTGGAAAAGCCTTCTTAGTAAAGCATGCTCTTGCAAAACAAACAGTTGGCACAAACAACAGTAAAGCTAAAAACCAAAAACTGAACCACTGCCACCTAAACACATTATGGGTTAAATAAGCAAGGATGATAAATGTTTTAATAGTCATGAGATATTCTGCTGTAACTCACACTCGCCAGATGCCAGAGCTATAAACACAGCCTTGACTTTACCATTTCCTGTGATGTGTAGATATCTATGCAGTTTAAAGCTGTGTTAATTATGACTCTAGGCAAAAATACTGTATTTTTTACTCTGAATATTCAATAATTAATACTAATCCCAAACACCATCTCTGACACATCACTTTATACAGCACTTTTCATTACTATATAATTAGTATGGTTAAGTTGGACTATTTTGTCCAACAAGGCAATCTTGTTCAACCACTACTGTTCATTGTATTAATAAGCGTTTTCCAATTGTTGCAAAATACTTTGGTTTTCAGACATTTTTCCATTATAGTGAAATAACTATCTTTAAGAGAAATATATCCCTCTCCACATATAACATACTTAAACCTTTTCATGAAATCAGATTAACAAAGCATTAAGACATTAGATCAAAAACCACACAGGATCACAATATTCAACAGCCTATCCCATTAAGTAAAAAACCTTGCAACAAAAGGCACTACACTGGTAAAGAAACCAGTGTAAGTGAACTAGAAATAGGATTTCTAGTTTCCCTAAATGGCTACCAGGGCCCCAGCATATACCAGTTCTTGCAAATCACTATCTGAGCAGACTTCTTAGTAGCTGTTGCCATAACACTCTTAGTTACAGTATTTTTAAAGGTGTTACCTGCTACTTGTGCCAATTTATCATGAAGTGCATATAAGCTGTTCATCATGAGACTTCTTTCATCTTCCTAGAATTAGAAAAATGCATTAATGTTAAAACAAACATTAATAGTGATATGTTTTCTTCCATTTAGCCCAAAAGCTTTCATAGACCATGAGGGGGGGAAAAACAAAAAAAAGTTTTTACACATACAGGAGGAAAGCCATAGCATTTCACATGTCAACAATGATGCAAGCAATAGATTTTGAATCCAAGTATTTAGAATATTGATTTTCCACCCCCTGACAAACTAGATTGCAGCCTAGACTCTGATGGATCTGCCAGTCAAAACTGACAGCTCAAAAGGTAATTTTAATACTACTGAGAGAACAGTGGAAAGACCCAAAAGACCACTGGTGGTGTGATCTTACTGTTTGTTTGGGTTTTATATAAATAAAGCAGTTTTATTATTATAAATGTGCAGTGACACTTCACACAAGCCACAATAAAGTACCATCTGGCCATATTCCTGCTTAAAATTCATAGCAAAGTAAGGATTTTGCTGTCTACCTTCATGCTACAGTAACTTAATTAAAATACTAAAACAAAAAACCAAACAGAAAGCTGTGGACAATACAATCTTGTTCATAGTTTCTGTATATGCCACTAGTATAAAAAGACTTAACTCCCAAACCAAGCATGAGTATGAAGTGTCATACAGTGATTATGTACAGGGAAGTTAAATTGCTCAATGTCTTGATAAAGAAGTTGATTTGAAATATACCCAGAAACATTTTATATTAGAATTAATTATTGAAAATACGAGTAACCTGCAACTACATACAGCAAGTACTAAAGGCCATTTTAAGTGTCTTGCAGTTTTTTTGTTTAGTGGGGTGGTTTTTTGGTTTGTGTTTGTTGTTGGTTTGGGGGTTTTTTTTCCCTTTTCTTTTCTTTTGTTGGGGTTGTCTCTGACTCCTGGGGCACAGTCAAATGACTAACACTAGAGCCTTTATTCAGAAAATATGCAAGGAAAGTAATTTCCCAGTTTGTGCATCTGCTGATTATACTCACATTAAAAAAAAAGCCACTAACCAAATATATTTTAAGTTTAATTCTCTGATACACCAGCACAGTCTGACATATTTTTAAAATGTGAATTCTCTTTTTTTTTTTGAAAAAAACTGCTACCAAAAAGAGTAAGTCTTTCAACCATGAAACATTTGACAAATTAATTCCTACGGACAATATTAAAGAGTTACTAGCATCACTTCTCTCTATTCTGGTCCTACAAAGACATAATTGAGATTAAATTGATATAGTTGGTACTCCCCAGGAAACTAACCAAGCTTATTAACTCACTTCCTGGAAAATACCTGGCATGGCAGAGGAAAAGAAGTCCTTACCACATGCATATACAAAGAGCAGCACTCCAAGCTCCATTTGTTTGCCAGTAGATACACGCTACACAGCGACACACAAAATTTTTGTGCCTAAGCTTTTTTCTTAAATTAATGGTCAGACCATCTAAAGGAAGGCAGTGAACAGTATAACCTTCATAGCTAACAATGAAGCATAGTAGGATTACCATGGAACAATACTCAACACATAAGAAAGTAACATATAAACCAGGTTCTCAAGCTGTCAAGGCCAGTGCACCAAATGCATACTCTCAGCACTACTGAATCATTCTGAAAGAATCCTCAGAATTTACCCCAGAAAATTCAATTTGTTCAAAAGATTTAGAAACATTTTCTTCCCAAGTAACTAGCCAAGACTACCTACTTACAATACACAATTACTCCATTTTGGAAAGCTCCATCCTAGACAAAAAACCAAAACCAACCACACCCCCCCCCCCCCAAAAAAAAAACCAAACCCCAAAAAACCCCCACAAAAAACCAAAACCCACACAACCACACACACAATTATCTTGCAATATTGCTTATATGTGCCTAGCAAAAGCAGATCACTATGTCTGAAGTCCAGGCAGAAAGACTGAAGGTCAGAATAGAACCACCAAAATACACACTGCAGAACAAAGGATAATACAGATACCTTCAGTGGTGGCATCTCAACAGTTATCCTACTATTCCAGTTGAAAAAGTGAATATAGGAACCAGTAACAGAATAGAATCAAAGTGAAAAAGAAATTTTTTAATCCATTTTCTGAAGGAGGCTAACCCTTGCCCTTCTATGGCACAAACTAAGATCGGGGAGTTTCAAGTCAATCATCTCTTTCCAGCTGTACTTTCAAGGCTAAGAAGCCAAATGGTACCAGCAAGAGACAAACTGATAAATTTAGCTTCAAAACTTACAACAACACAATTTTTTCCTCACAGATCTACAACACCAATTATGTAACATTTTCTTAGTATATAAAGCAATCAGCATGACACAGCCAAATCTTGTAATCCTGGTTATATTGCCCAAGATGAGAAAAAGAAATCAAAACATTAAAGTTAAGAGTGCATTCATCTCATGCAACACATTCTGAAACAGCATTCTTCTGAGCAGATTATACTGGTTTTATATAATCATTTGACAAATTAAAAATCTCATAATTATGTCATTTTACTTACTTTCTGTTCTTCACTGAAGGGATTTTTGACTGTGAAAAAAGAGAAAATTAATTAATTCAAGAGTCTGAAAACACTAAAAAGTTATACTGATACTGTAGCTTTATGACAATGGTTGTTATACCACTGTAATCTTTAGATTAAAAAAACAAGTCCATAATATAACAAATAACAATTAGACAGCTATGAACCTTTGACTTAACTCTGTATTTGGTACTGCAGTATACTAGCATTTGGGTTAAACCTGAACCTTGTATATCTGCAAATTTCACAGCTATTTCCATGTTTGCCACTTGCAAAACTCCTGCTTTAATGACTCAAGTGCATTGAAATAGTAATTTGAATGTTTTAGTGTCTCATTTTAAAAAAGAAGTAAAACTACTTCTTTACTAAGCAACAATCCATACAATAAAAAAATTATACAACTCATCAGGATTTTCTGTTTTGACAAGAAAAAGGGATGACACACTGCGACCTCGGGTAGAAAGTACAGTGTAATTAAATGACCATGCCTTCCTCTCTAAATAAAACAGTTTCCACATCTCCTGAAAGTTTAAGCTTATCTATTAGTTTCCTCTTCGCTACAAAAATTTATTCTTCAAGGAAGAGAAGCTGAAATCAGACAAGTAATTTGTGCTATCCTTCCACTTAAGTCTGACCAGCTGGTAGCTAAGAAGGTAGCAAGGCAGGAAGCAAACACCATTAAAGCACACTGTCTTGCCTTTCTAAGCCACTAACTCTTGTTTCACCCACATTTGACCTTACACAGAAATTAGCAGTTCTATGTGTTACTCAAACAGAAAATGAAGCTTCTACTGACCACAGTTCACCAAACAAAAATAAAAAGTACCCTGGGAAACCTGACACAAAATTGAAGGTCTAGGTCACAAATGTCACCACGTTGATGTTGAAAGGACACCAAGGGCAAGGAGCACTTGAAGGGACACGCTGCTCCATACACAGTTTGACCAAAAGCACAGTTCTTACAAACAGACAAAAAACCCAACAACATACCACAAAAAACCAACAACAGCGAAAGTAATTTCCACTACTCCTGGGTCTGCTGTATTTGCATAGAGAATCTGGAAGAAATCTCAGTCTGAGAAGATTTTTGTGCATTTTGAAATCCTGCAGTTCAGCTTTCTATACCAAGGCACAGCTTTCTATACCAAGGCACAGTAAAAGACAAGTACCATCTTTAAACAGTGTCCAAAATATGTAATTCCATTTACATAGTGTAATTACACCCACTACCACCACCCCCAGATATTGCAGCTGTTTACACAGCATTTCTGCTTTCTTGACTTCTTGTAAGGCAGACCCATGTGCAGAAATATTCACAAAGCATCAAGAGTTGCCTCCCCAACAGACAGCTAATTGACAGTATCTTGACTCCTGAACCATAATGATGATTAAACTGATCAGCTAATTTAGTTATAAATGGGAAGGTGGACATATTAGATCAAATTCATCGCAAGATTTCTCACTTAGGAGAAATGGAGGATACGAAAGAAACCAAGGAACAGCTTAATCATAGAATCATGGAATGGTTTAGGTTGGAAGGGACCTTAAAGACCATCTAGTTCCAACCCCCCTGCCATGGGCAGGGACACCTTCCACTAGACCAGGCTGCTCAAAGCCTCATCCAGCTTATAAACCAGGGGTCCCCTAACCTTTGTCATGCATAATAGCACCTGAGTAAGTAACAGTGGGATGGGGCTGGGGTGGGGAAGGGAATAGATTTTCTAATAAAAAAAATGAATTCTTCAAAAACAATGTATTTTTATTACCTGCACAAAGCTCCGTAACACTGTTAGCAGCAACCAGATGCTGACCCACTTCACCTTATTTTTGAAAGGCAAGTTTCAAGTGGGAATGATTACTGTTTCATCGCTCCTACTTGTAGCAATGGTAAGGAACAATTTTGTACAATTACAAGCAACAAATGATGTATAAAACGTTGGGGCAACGAAAATGCTTTTGAAGTGAAGAAAAAGGCTTGACTCTGAAACCTTACAAACAACAGTTTGCCCACACACCTGAGCTCAGAAGAAAATGAAGCGTGCTACCTACCCAACAGCAATAAGCACTTCTGCTTGCTCTGACACAGCAAATGGGAAAAAAGCATACAAAACAACAAACCAATACCACCCAAACACAGGGACTAGTTTTCAGACACCTGAACACTTGATTCAGATATCAGATAAATTAAAGCTGATAGAAGCAGTAGATGTTCAAGCACTCACGTAAACCAAGCCCTTTACCACTTCATTATTTCATTCCACAGGTGCAAATTCTCAGACATTGCCTATTAGGTTATCTAGCTACCAACTTTACAAAGCTTCTGTGTATTCCACTCACTAATTCAGTGCAACATTCCCAATACACTAAACTTTTAATCTAAATAGCCTAAAATAGGATTAGATAAACACAGCCAAGGCTCTAGATGACTGCCAACCACCCAGTTTGATGGTTAGTTACCCAGACAGGATAATTATGTAATTG